GGGCGACTTTTCGGTATCTAGCGAGCCTTATGCCTCAACAATGACTATCCAAATTACGCATAACTTTAGAACAGTTTCGCGTCATAATGGAAAGTCAACCAAATTATAGAAATGGTTAATCCTCAAAGACTGTCTTAAACTGCGCAACATTAATCCACTTTCTAAAAACAGGGGACTAGAGCCTTGGCATTATCCTAGGCTCTTTATCATCTTGCAGAGCAATCATGAATGTTTCCCTCTCAATCACCCAGTGATGACGTGAAAAATTTTCATATTCGCTACCACGCACTAAGAATGTAGAGTATTCTTCTCTAATGGAGTAATCTATTAGTAGGCACATCGCTCCCACTGTCCCTAGGATATTGGAAATTTCTTTCCATTCTTAACTAGGCTACATAGAGCGCTATGCTTATAATTCTCTATCTTATAGAGTTTCAAAAACTCTATTCACGTCACCTTTACTAAGAAAACTTTATGTGACTTAGGCCCGTTTGGGGACTTATCTTTTTAACCAAAAAGTCAAAAAGTTACATTTTTAGCCAAAAAGCCAACAACTCATACAAAAAAGTCAAAGATTCTCTTTTCTCTCTACTTTTTGCACATCTTTTCGTAATTAGCCAAAAAGTCATCCCAAACATATAAGGTTTTTTTACCTATTTTTTTAGCCAAAAAGCCAAAAAGTTACTAAATTAGCCTGTTTCCAAACGAGGCCTTAGTTACATTTCCACAAAGCTGTTTACCTATACGCACATGACCCGGAGGGTTTACATGATAGCATACAATAATGCGTCTCGTGACCCTATGTGTTTACAAGACACATACAATAATGCACCATAGAACTCTAGGTCTTAACTTCGCAACCTTATGAAAGTAAAAATAAAGATAAGCTGCTTAATGGTTACAGATCGCCCATAAATGGCTCTCCACTAACCCATTACATAAATGGAGTGTAAAAATTTGAAATGGAGGACATTTAGTTAAGGATACAGGCAACAAATAAAGTGCAATTTCCAATTGGGAAACATTTTGCGCCATTATCCACCTAACATTAACAATACTTAATTCATTATCTCTACTACACCATTGTGTTATTAGTATTAGGAATAATCAATTTTCTAAGCATCCATTTCTCTTTACAGAGTTTTTTTCTAAAATAACTCAAATAGATACTCGCCACCTTGGTCAAAACTAAAAGCACGAAAGCTGTTATCTAATTGATCTCAACCTCATATGTGCAATATCAAAACCATCTCAAAACTTTTGACTTATGGGAGATCAAATAGTCTTGACTCAGATGCGTATCGTAATCTATAAATGTGTCGAGATTGAGGCTTAGCTATCATACCCTTACACATATCTAGTTACAAATATCATAGTGGACTAAATGCGCCAAAACAAATGACCTTCTACGGTTTCCTACTGACTTGTGCGCACCCATTGCGAACAAAGTTTACACATTCACATGAGAGCAGGATGTCATAAGCAAGTGGGCCCGAGAAGGCCTACTCAAACCATCATGTCATCATCTCATTAATGTGATTAAGTATAATAAGCCACTAGTTCTGACCAATGTCATAAACTAATTCCAATCATCTTAATGTGTGAGTTCTTGAAGACAAGTTTTAAGGTTTAGGCCCAACTAGGTAATGACTCACGACTAATTCATATTCACTAGATCATAAAAGGATGTCATGGAGATATCAAGTGCGCCTAAGTCGCAAATTTAACTAGTAAATGCTAATCCCCTGCACCTTCAAGTCAATTTTATTCTCCATACACTTTACTGCATCTAGTTGAAAGATGACGGTACTCCTTTGCCATATCTATTTCTCGCTTCATAATTACTTGCAATTAATTCTACTATCCACAAGAAGAAGAGAATAAGCTATCAACTATGATAGCTCTTGAAGTAACTTAAGCGCGAATTAGGCTAAAGAGTATTCAACACAATGCTTTTACAAGCGATGCGTCAAATTCTTAGAGTCATAACAACCTTGTCAGCCTTGACCTTTTCATTACTATGCTGCAACGTTTGCGCTTAGTGTAAACGTTATTCAAAAACGTTAGCCTAGCTAAGGAATCTACAAAGAAGCCCCTTCGCATGTCTCCAGACTCAAGTGTGGAAACAGTAAGTGTCCAGACTTAGACAAGTTGGCAATGTTAATAGATTTTGCAGCCACTAAGCGCTAATCCTTTCACTTAGTGTTAATAGATTATGCAGCTTCTAAGCGCTAATCTTTTCACGTAGTGTTAATAGATTTTGTAGCTTCTAAGCACTAATTTTTTAACTTCACGTGATATTTCAACGCACACTATTATAGTGCATGAAATTTTGCTCCATCCACTCCCAATAATTGGGTAGAGAGCAAAACACTGCTCATACTGGCTACTTGTCTTACACTTAATGACTAATTTATTTAAGCTCGCATTTCTTGGATGACGTGACTCTTGAATGTTACTTCATCCAATGATGTAACATTATTTACAAGCCAAATTACAAAGTCAATCCGCGCAGCTTAATAGTCAAGATCATATACAGATCTATTGAGGGCTTACTGATTTCATAACTCCAAAACTCGCCAACCAAAACTACGTAGTGTGCCGCTAACCATAGCGCACACATTAGTTTTTATTATGCCAAACAAGGCAACAAAACCACGGCGACTTTGAGTCATGTTTCCTTACTTTGGCTCAATTAAGGTTTGACCTAAAGTCTCCAAGACTTTTGCTCATCTAAAGAATGAGATTACATTTTCACATGTGAACATCTTTACTAAGTCTAGGTCAACCAATTAACTTTCATAAGCTAAGTCAATTTAGAGAGAAATTCACATTGGGATTAATTGATTAGCATAATATAATTTTGCCACAAAAATCTAAATTAAAATAGTGACAATATTACACAAGTCGCAAGATCGAAAATCCGCTATGCTCGTAATCATCTCTTGCGTCACAGGTGACAATTATCCAAAATTTAATTTAATTTATGCGCAAAATATTGGTTTTTGGGAGTTAATCTACAAGATTTCTCTCAACCGAATAACCTTCCACTAACTATGGCATGTCTAAAGCATGATAAAAAATTCTAATTCCATACAATAGCATCATAATGTAGATTCACAACCAACTCATGCTATGTCACAATCAATAATGGAATTTAAACAAATAAAAATTAATCATGCTATTCTAATTAAACATATTAAGAACTCTAAAAAAAATAATATGTTGTATTAAATATTCAAATTATGCCATAACAGAATGTACATCATTCTGAAATTTTTTGGTAATTTTCTGAATTTTCTGAATTTTTAATAACTAATAAACACACATACAATTAGAAATAAAATATTTCAGAATCTGGTAAATGCTATAACTATACCAGTAAATAGTAAACTACAACAGTAGTCTACAATAAAAAAATTCAGCCCCAGAAACTTAATCATGCAACACCAGATGCATTTTAAACCAGAAATAATGAATTATTATTTCAGGAAAAAATATTTTTTTATTTTTTATAAAAATTTTCAAAATTACAAAAGATAAAAAATTTAATTCTGAATCTAACGGTACCAACCACGCTTAAAACAAAGCTATAACGAATTAATATTGAGCATTTAACGTAATTCTGAATTTTAAAGAAAACAAACAGACCCTTAACCACAGCCGTCAAACCAGCCAAGCGGCGCAGAAAAACGGCATGGCTCGGCTCGGAGAGCGGCTCAACGCGTGTCTCAGCGCCCAGCGCGCATGTGGGTAGTGTGGACAACGAGCGCGTGAAAGCGTGAAATAGCGCTGTGCGTGGCAGCGCGTCTCAGCGCATGGAGGGCCTGAGAGCGCGAGAAGGCGCGTGACAGCGCGTGTCCACCGCTGACGACGTCATCTGGAGCGTGAGGCACACCCGCGCCTTCCGGGGTGTTTTCTAGTCCGATTCGGTACTCCCGAACTTCATTTTCACAACAAAAACATTTATGGCATCGAAAATCACATTTAATGAACATAAAAATGAGGTGTACCACACTCTCAATCTAATGGGAGTTGAAATTTTCCTCCTTTATAAACATTCATGTATATAATGTGTACAATATATATATATATATATATAAATATACACATGATTAGAGAAAACACGAAAATACTCATTTACGCTCTGATACTAATGTAAATCAAAGGTAAACGCAACAGATGAAAATTATGGTCATGATTTTTTTGCAGAGTCTGAATTGAAGGATCTTGTGGGTAAATCACGTGCTTCCTGAACCTGGTCAATCAACCCAGCAATAGAGTGATATTACAGAATGAATATCACCTACACAAGTCACAGTGCAAAATGGCTCTTGATGTTGTATTTTGGGAGAGAGTCAGTATATCAGGAAAACATACGATATACGTTATTTTTCTCTTAATGACCCATATCCCATATCATATCAGATATATAGGATAATATCTCATCTATCTATATTAGTTGATATGATAGATATGGATATCCTGAGTGGTTATCCAAGTAAGTTTTTGAATTCAAATTCAAACTTACATGGATAAGGTTCAAAGGGTCATGCCACATGGGCGCCCAATTTCTAACATTTGAAATGAGTGACACAACTCAGATTACACAATCTGCATCACAGTAAAGCATACATGTAATTAAGTAACCTAGCATCCAAGAGGGTGTTCCTTATGATATCTCATTATAAGGGTATTCTTTAAAACCCACACACCCACACACACAAAAGAAGAAAAAGAATGTTATCTTACTGTACACTGCACAGGGACAGGAGCCCATTGGCTTTCTACTCCTAGCATTAAAAGATGGTCGAAATTTTTTTTCTACAACCAATAATATACATAGACCAGTGAGAGAAATCTACAAAATTATAAGGTTTTTCAGGTATTCATTATAGCAGATAACTTATTTTGAAACAAACCTGAACCAAGACTCTTTATTGGTCAGCCTATTGGCATCTTTTCCAGTGTCAATTTCTGGACCTCCCATTATTAGCAAACGATGGTCTCTGAAGCACTGAGAAGGTTTATCGTCTACTGGCATCATATTGGTTCAAAGACAAAAAAAAATGACCAGTAAGGTTTCAGTGATAACACATACATGTGTATGTCTGTCCACGCACATACATGACAGTTTAAACTACAAGAAGTGAACAAAGTTCTAAAAATCTGAGTGTCTAACCTTCTGTTGGTTGAAACTGTAACTGCTTCCTCTAAGCTTCACAATTGATATCAAAGGGTCAACGCCTATAGTCTCCCTTAGCAAGACCTACACCACACCCAGACCATGGTTAGTAGTAGTGAAGGAATGTGTATGCGTCAAAAACAAAAATAATAACAAAAGGCCTACAAACCTGATTAGACGTATTGCTACGAATGAGATTGTTCAATAATTCAAGACAGTCCTGTTCTGTGACAACAACCATGTCAGAGAAATTACCAATGGCATTAATAATTGGCCAGGGCTATCACCAAAGCTAAAGAAGTGTTTTCCAAAACAAGTCTTTTGACTAGTAGTACAATACATGTGACATCAAAGCATTGATCGCACTGTTAGAAATTTGACATTTAGTGGCGTTTTAAAAAATGTCGCTTGTCACGACCCAAACCGCCCCTATAGGTTTAGCATCGTAACCGGCCAGTAATCCTTGGACTAACCGAAGGCCTCTGAACAGATTAACAAGATTAAGGGGCTAGCGGAAGTAAATACATAAATATAGTTGTCCAATGATCTATGCTGACTTACATGAAACAGAGTATTTAAAACTTTATATACATAACCGGTAGTCAACCATACATTATACCCACACACATTACAATATTTTAGGTACAGCCAATGACAACAAATCAAGTCTTATATATACAGAAACAACAAAACTTAAACACTTGAGACACTCCAGGAACCTCCACGTGACGCACAATGGTTGGCTGACAACAGAACACAGATCCAGACAAAAGCCTTCAGGCTCGGGCTCCAGAATGCTCACATATAAATATATATACACACAATGAGCTAAAAGCTCAATGAATAACATTAAGGTAAAGAGGTTAGTGAATGAATTCCGAACATATCATAAGCGTAAAACAGATCATAGCATAATCATTCTCATATCAGAACATAATAATGGCACATCCCATAGAACACATCACAAAACGTATTCCGACTAGAGTAATCGGTTCCGGATACTGATTAAACACATATCACCAAAATGAAGTGACTAATCTCGTAATTACTTGTATGTCATGGACCCGCATTTTCATGTCGTCTCCCATGACTTAGGCTATCTATGGATGCCATAATAGTTTCAAACTTGGGATGTTCGTTCACATAAACCGATATCATTTCAGAAATCATAACTATCACATTTCATTTGGAACATAATTCATATCAACATATCTTTACAGAAATGTTACTCACAGTGGTTCCCGTAAATGGTCAATCAATCCTCGAGTCTTGACCTACAATCACAAAATACATAACACAATTACATATTCAAGTGGCCATTAAGCTTAGCTTTCCTTACATTGATTCTTGTTCTTCCTTAACACATTGCTCAAAACACACTCTTGAATCTCATAACTTAGTACATTCTTTACTTAGTGTGTTTCTAATCCATAACCTCATTACTATGGCTTAATTAAGGCTTAGGAATGCCTAAGATGCCAAGAGGATGCCAAAATGTGTGTTGGACCACTTAGTAAATTTTTGAAAATAAGGTCTCCGCTCGAGCGTAGAACTTCCTCGCTCGAGCGGACATGCAAAATGAGAGGGGTCGCTCGAGCTTGACTTCCTCCGCCCGAGCAACCTGCAAACTTGGAAAAAGTACTAGTTGGTTGAAATCCACCTCGAGCTACAACTCCCACGCTCGAGCATATCGACAACATGCAAAGGGTTCGCTCGAGCTCCAAGTGGTCGCTCGAGCGGAGAGCTCATGTCTGGAAAAAAAATACTGAGAGCTCGCATTCTCCGCTCGAGCGCAGGTTTCCTCGCTCGAGCGGACTATAAAATTCTGGGTTTTTCAAAACAGGGTTTGAGCTTCAAAATGTGATTTTAATGGCTACTCATGCAAAGCTTGATCAAAACACTTGGAAGGCCTTTCTAAAACACAATTACATGATCACTCTCAAACATTTAGCTCAAATCTCATGGATTTAGCAAATTTGAACTCCAAAGCTCATGCATGGAAGATTTTCAAACTCCTTTTATTTTGTCTACAAAACATGCAATGAAAATCATAAGCTCGTGAAATTTTGAAACATGAAACATGATAATTTCTTGAAGATGATGAGTAAAACTTACATGCATGCAAAGATTTCAAGAGCAAAACCCAAGACATGAATGAACAAGTATAGTCCTCCATAAACATGCACACAAGCCATTTCTTGCTAAAAAACCCAACTTCACTTCAAATTCCAGTAATTGATTCACCAATTTCTTAGTACAAGATGCATGGAAGGTTGTCTTCAAAAGAATAGGCTCTAGACTCTTACCTAGCTTCTTGATTTCGAACAATGAGATATGGTCCTCCTAATTTCCTTCGTCTTCTTCACCTCAAGATCTCACTCTCTCACTCTCTAGTTACACACCCTCTCACACAAAGAGACCAAAGAGGCCACCTACCACACCCCCTCACTCTGCTGATATACACAACACACACCTCACTTTGAGCACCATACACGTGCACACACATGCACACTTCCAACACACTCACACATGGATTTAATCCCCTACACTCAACACCACAAATTGCCTCAACACATTATACACTCAATCACATCTTGGATCATTAATAGGATTAGATTAGGTACCAATCATGGCAATTATTTAAATCAAACATAAGTAACCTTAATTTATTCAGGTTTAGCGCGAAATTCAATTAATCCAAATTAGTCCCATCAAGGTTCAATTAATCACAATGCGATTTTTACCGAACCGAATCAATTCTTAATAAAATTTGACATGGTGTTCTAAAATTTCCAAATAACACGTTGATGTAATCAATTTTCGATTTCGGATGCCGATAAGGCTTTCAATTTACATTTAAAGTGGAATCCAAACTATATTTCTACACGTAACAGATAAGAGGCCAAAATCATGTAAAATCCATAATAATCCCATAATTTATTTATCCGCTTAATTAACATCCTTGATTACTGACTAATGGCTAATTTGCGGGTTGGGGTTATTACACCGCTATAGGTGCAAAAAACACCGCTAATTCTTTTCGTGACGTTTAGCACCAAACGTCGAAGACGCGACCGTCACTATAGCATTAATAGCGCTTTAAAAACGTCGTTAAATTAGTATAGGCAACATTTTTAAAAACGCGCTAAATGTTGTAAATAACGATAACCTGACATCATCTAATATTTAGCAATATTTTAAAAACGCCGTGATAGATTTTTTATTATTTTAAAAATATGACCGTTGACACTGTAATGGCATTTGGGAAAACGCCGTTATAGCACTTTTTTTTCTTTTATAGATTGCGCTTAATTCTGTTAGATTTAACTAAAAAACATACTGTTAATAAAGCTAAAAAATAGCAATAATATGATAAACCTATTTCAATACATTGACTAAATTAGGCAAACATTGCATGATTATTCTAAACCAAAATCAAACAATAAACACAACCAAAAAATAAAAAATATTATTCACGGTTGTTTAACAAAAACAACAGCCATAACCAAAAAAAAAAAAAAAAACTAATTTGTCCATAAAGACCAAACTTCAGAGTCTTACAAACATCCATACAAAATAACGCCCATACGTACTTGCAAGGAATGAAATAAAACATAACTATCAAGTAATTTATGATAAATTTGGCCATAAATGACAATGCTAACCCAATAAAATAATAGATGAGAAATAAAAAGAAATGAAATCTTACTTCAAGTAATTTCTTCCATCATATCCACCAACAACATATAGAGTATGACATTAATTTCTGCTTAATTTCTTATTATTGATATGTCGAGAATGGTCAAGAACATTACACCAAACCAAAATAAAGAAGCATTCAGGTGTTTTGGTTTGAGTTTTTGAATTAAGTTTTTTGAAAACTGAGTTTTTGGTTTT